CAAAATAAAATCCCTGAGCCAGTCTCCTTTCCTGCCTCCATCAAAGCAGGTCTGAATTCCTGATGGGCCTTTCTTGTGTTTCACAGAGATTTCAACTATGTGCATAATAAACATTCTATGTCCCTCAGTGTGTGTGTTTATCATCATCACACTGGTCATCTGTACTAAACTGCTGTGGGTCTACATACCTCTGCTTGGTGTCACCTACTCTTGGTGCTATGAGCATGATGAAAAAGCAATGAATGTACCACATGGCATCTTTCTTCCCTAGTTTTGCATTTATAGGCTTCTGATGCCCATTGTCCAGAACACATGAATTCCATTGCTGACTGGCTGGGACCCTGAGCTGTGGAGCTGAGCTGTACTATTGAGTCAGTAGAGACTCTGGTTAGATTTAGCTGATGTAGGTCAGATTTGATAATGAATTGTCATACAGGCACAAGAATGTCTGAAAGAGTTTCTCTGTGATTTGTGCAAGTGAGAAATTTGTCTCACTTTACAACAGACTTTCTAACTCAGAGACTTCAGAGATGAGCACAGAATCAGGAATCCAGAGTTTCCCTGAGGCAAATGTGACATGAAGAGGAAACCACATAGGAAACCAGCCCAAACCTCCCACTGCACCTGCTGCTGGGATGGTTCTTGTGTTCAGGTACCCAAAGCACCTCCTGGCGGTCACAGCCCCTCTTGCAGGGAGGTTTGTGTCTGGGCTCACACTGACCTCCCCTCACTGTGTCTCACACAGTAATACAGGTCCATGTCCTCGGCTCTCAGGCTGTTCATTTGCAGATGCAGCATGTTCTTGCCGTTGTCTCTGGAGATGGTGAATCGGCCCTTCACAGAGTTGGCATAGTATGTGGTACTTCCATCAGGATTTATTTGACATAACAACTCCAGCCTCTTCCCTGGAGCCTGGCGGACCCAGTGCATCCAGTAGCTACTGAAGGTGAATCCAGAGGCTGCACAGGAGAGTCTCAGAGACCCCCCAGGCTTCACCAAGCCTCCCCCAGACTCCACCAGCTGCACCTCACACTGGACACCTGCAAACACAGAGACATCTTGGTCAGGAAACTCTCACACGTCCACTGTTTCTCTCATTCACATCCACTCACATACTCAGTCTTTCGTTTTCTCCATAAATTACCTCTTAAAAGAGCCACAATAAAAACCCAGCTGAGCCAAAACCCCATGGTGAGTGGTCTATGTTCAGTCCTGATCAGGGAATGGGAACACCTGGGGATCCCAGGGCTGGGCTCCTGTCCCAGAGCTGCAGGGTCAGGACTGGGCTGGTTTTTATGAGCAGCGTGGGCTCTATTTGCATGTCCTTCTACTATATAGGAAGCTCTGGGTTGGATGCTGATACAAATAACGCCATCCCATGTGTAACATGTCCAAGCGTGCATGTATGTTAATTAATTCCCCACATCTACACCTGTGCACCCCCACTGAACCCAACTGCTCCAGGTCACCTGTACAAAAAAGAGGAGGATTGAAAATAATTGATTCCTTTGACAGTCACCAGTAATGAGAACCAAGAGAAATTAATATTCAAATCCCAGAATTAAAAGTGCAGGAGTTTCATGTTCAGGAGACAGGAAGTTCCTTCTGACACTATTTTCAAGCTTTGTTTTACATATTTAAGTGTTCCTATGTAGGATTCATAAATGTTTCTCAGAGGTATATCCTCTTGTTTCCCACCATGGGGCCCAGGGGCAGGTCAGCAAATGTCCCAAGACACCCCTCGATCCTTCTGTGCCTGCCTCCACCTGCCAGCTGCCAATTAACCTCAGTCACTGGAAAGGCTCAGTCTCTGAAAGAGACTCCCGTGAATCATGAGGATGGGGCACTAGGATGTCCCTTAAGGGGAAGGTGCTGATCAGACTTCAGGGAAGGTGGTAGGTGTGTTCTGTTCTAGAGCCACCTCTCTGAGTCTGTCCCTTATTTTCTCCTGAACTTGATACCTTGAAACCCCTGATGGTAAGGTGGGTGGGTTCTGTGGAGATCAGAGCTTGGGTCTCCCAGAAGCCAGGATTCTGTTACTATCAGGTCTCCCATGAGGAGCATGTGCCAGTGAATTTCAAGAAAAAGTAGGTCAATAGCCTCACCAAAGCCAGCCTCTGACACCTCCGGAGATGCCCAGAAGTCTAAGCCCTGACTCCTCAGCAGGGCTTATGATGCAGGGTGGGGTGACAGGGTTCCAGAGGTGGGGGATTGCTTTCCCCAGGCTGATTTAATTGGGTGGGGATTGCTCCTCCCAGGAAAGATGACTGCTGAGGAATGGAGGATGGCTCAGTACAGGGTCCAGGAGTCTCTTCCCATCCCTCCCAAAAGCCATCATGATTCTCCTCAGGCAACTGCCGTCTGACTGCCCTCCTTCCCTTGGAGCACAGCATGAGTGGCTCCTAACCCTCATTTTTCTCCTTAACCCGATGAAGTGGTGGCTTTGTGTCCTTCAGGCTCTGCCCAGTGAGGGTGCAGAACCCTGGTATGAGATGAGAGCATGGATGAGCATCTGTTATCTGGTGTTACCCGCACTTCAGGGCTGGATCCACCTGTGGCCTCCGAGTCCTCACTATTATGAAGAAGGTCATGCCTCACCTGGGAGGTGGTCCCCCATCACCTAAGGGGACTCAGGTCCCCCAGGTCCGTCACATGCACCTGAGGTCTGTGTTGGATCCAGGACCACTATCATGACCACAACAGCCCCTGTCTGTGCACTCTATTATCAGGGGCCTGAGACCCTCTCCAGCCTGATGTGCATGGACATCTCCATGTGAGTGTTAGGAGGTCAGTGGTAACTGTCAAGGCTGCAGCTGGCCCTGCGGTCAGACGTGGCATCCATCACTGCCCCTCCTTGAGCCTCTGGGCCTGCTAAGTCTGTCCAATGCTCTGAGGAGTAGGCTGCTGTGTGATTGTTTGTTGGGAAGACCCAAACCCAGAGTCCCCAGGGCCCATGACTGGATTACCTGGCCTTCATCATTTGAATGATGCAATTTTCCTACTTGTGTTGAATTCAATAGAGACTGGAGCAGACCCTGCACAGGCCAGACTGAACTCTTTCTGTGCATGTTGGGAGTAGCAACCATATCGCCCAAAGGGACAGAGTGAAATGCCACCACCACTGGCCATCCTGAGGTTCCTGCTTGGCCCTGTGTTCTTTGCAGCCAACCTTCCTGCCTCTGCAGAGACCTTGTGTCTGGCTCCCACTGGATTTGGACCACAGCCCTTGGGTACGGTCTTACTCACTTATCACATTGCTCAGCTGCAAGAACACTTGGTTCTGGGTTGTGTGCCTGGAGATGCTGATCAGCGCTGTATGTTGGGGACTTGCTGAGTGTTCCCTTTAGTCCATATCACACTGACCCACTCTGTCCCCTTTCCTGGGTGATGGTGAATCTACACACAGAATATTCCAAAACTGGGGGCTGGGGGTCAGTGTGGGTGGCTCATGTGAGACTGGGCCTCGATGAGGAGACCTCTACTTGGTGTCCCTATTCTTTGAGATGGTCCTCAGGCTGGAAACCTGAGGACAGGGAACACCTATGGGTCACACATACACTTGGCTCACACCATCACCCATTTCTGAGATGCGTGGGTCACCTGTTGCAGACACGAGACAGCAGGAGGAACAGGATACATGGAGGGGCCTCGTGTGTCTGCTCAGGTCAGCTCTCCCGGGGACCCAAACCCAGAGCCAGGGACACAGTGACACTTCACACTTGCCTGGATTTCTCCTTGAAGCTGGGTCAGTTTGCATGAGCAGAGGTGCAGGGACCCAAGCTAAGGGTGGTGTGGGCGGTCACTGCCTCCAGAGCTCTCCTAGGGAGGGGTTGGAAATGGCACCCCATCTGCTTGGTGCAGTGCCTGTGGACTGTGCTGCCTTCTATGGCCTGTGTGTGCTTCTCCTGGGATTTCCATAGAATATGAGAGAAACCGTGCTTGGTCTCTGAGAGTGTCCATAGGACAAACACAGCACATGGCAAACAAGGTGATTCCTCCCACAGCTCCCAAACCAGAGGGAAACCAAAGGTAAATATAATGAGCTCTGAACCATAGACCAGCAAAGCCAAGGTGGCTTCTTGTCTCCAATGACATGCAAATAATTGATATGTGTGTCTGCTTGGGAATGAATACTTGTACTGCTTTAAAATCCTCCCTGTCTTTGGAAGATGTATTAATAAGCAAAATGTGTCAATTGTACACTCCCCCAGGATGGCCGCTGACAGAAGATAATACTTTGCTGGTTTTCACGACAGGAGGGATGGAGATTGGGGTGAGGAAGGAGCTTTCCTGCAGCAACATCTCTGAGAGACTGCATGTGAGGAACAAAGGAGACATGCATGGGATTGCCAAGGTGCATCCCTGCATTAGAGCATCAGCCATCACAGACTTCAACAGGAGCTACACAACAACTTCGTCCTTGACATGAATCCAGTTCCAAATAAATTCAAGTCCCCAGTCTCGTATGAAACACCCCTTTCTCCCCGTTTGATGGAGTCCGGGGGACCACACCCTCTGCCATCATGCCATCTGAAGCTCCAACACTTTTCATTGGAACATTCTGCAAATGAGGAGCAAATTCAAGCAGAAGATGAAATAAAAAAGAACCAGCAGACAAACTGTATAAAAGGAATGGAAGTCCATCTACACCACTTGTGAGACATGGAATTTTATCATCAGAACTTGCTATATTCCACCCGGTTACAGGAAGAAACCTTGTCAAAAATAGCAGAACAGCACAAACCCCATAAAACCAATAATGTTTTGAAATAAAAAAAATAAGATAAGTACTCAAAAAAATAAGTACAATTTTTGTTGTGAAAAGCACCACATCAAGAATGAGAACACTGAGGGAAGAATTTCTATGACCTGGAAGATAAAACAGACACATTATCCAAGATGAAAGTTGGATTTATGAGGATGGAGAGAGATGGCTCTGAGGGTGCTGGGGACACTGAGGTTGTCTGCAGCGTTATCTGTGCAGCTGCTGAGAGAAGGAGCCACCAGCATCAGGGGCCAAGTCCCAGCCCAGGGGTGAGCTCTGCACAGCAGCTGCCTTCCAGGAAGAGGGTCAGGGCCCAGGAGCCATCCCTCCAATCATCAGGGCCTGAATCCTCCACGCTGACCTTCTCCTGCTCTCAGTCCTGTGGACACAGTAAATGCTGCTTCCTCTGGGGGAAGATCTGAGGGGTTCGCGGGGTAGGTGCCGGGCCTCTTCTCTGTGCTGGTGGAGGGTTTTGGTACCCACAGGACGTGGTTTCTCTCGTTGTGTCCCTTGCACAGTAATGCATGGCCGTGTCAGAGGCCTTCAGGCTGCTCCACTGCAGGTAGCTGGTGCTGATGGAGTTGTCCATGGAGATGGTGATGTGGCCTCAGAAGGACGGGCTGTATCTGGTATCCCCATCACCAGGCCAGGTCCATCCCATCCACTCCAGGCCCTTCCCTGGCATCTTGCACACCCAGTGGAACCAGCTTCAGTAGGTGAATCTGCAGCCAGTAGTCCTGCAGGAGATCCTCAGAGACTCCCCAGCTGTTCTCACCTAGCCCCCGACTACACCAGCTGCCACTGAGTGCAGATACCTGCATAGGAGAGCAGGACTCAGGGCGGGGCGCCTCCCAGCCTCCCTCCTCTGCAACCCCAACACCTGGTCTTAGACTCACCTGGGAGCGCAGCCAGGAGGATGGCCAGGGCGGTGGCACAGCCCTTGCTGGAGGTGGACAGTGAGGAAAGCTCTATGCACACCGCTGGGTTGTAGGGAGGGAATTCCTGGTTTAAAAGGGGGGTTTCCCAGGTAAGTTTGCATATTCCCAGCCCCGCCCTTTGGGGGAGATGTCCAAGGGTTCATAACCAAGAACTCCGAGGCCTGAGAAGAGGTGCATGTATGAGACCCTGGGAGAGAGCCAGATGGCCAGCCAAGACTGCAGGCCTGGCAGGGCACTCACATG